TGACACAAATTTTGAGCCATGCTTTAAGGTTGTGTAGAGTTTTATGCAATTAAAACTGGCACCATTGGGCTTCCTATGTGGCCTATAAGCCAGGAACAATGCCTGTGCAGCTTTTTTATAATTCTGCCATGCTTCCAGCTAGCCACTTGCTCTGCTGCCAATGCTACACTCTGCACAAGTTACCAGAGAGCTTTACTGCCATATCGCTGAATGAGTTTACAAGCTGAAACCTGGGTAATCATATTGATTAGTACAGTGTCTAGTGTGTGGACACAGGACACCATCTCACTGCTGCCATGTAGGAAACAGCACATGGCCAGTAATAGACACAGGGTCACTGAGGCAGGGAGTGTGGGAGCCACAAAACTAGATTGTGGATTTACCTCCTTTGGGCACTTTGTTTTCTCCCATTCTGCTTTACTGCTAGCTTCACGGTCCTCCTCTGAGCCACCTTCCTCTATGTTCTGTCTAGAGAGAAATGTACTGCCATTATGTAGGATTTTATGGGGAAGTTGACTAATCCCGTTGATTCTTGAAGCAGTAGGAGCAACAACCTCTTCTCTGCTACCTTTGTGACCCTCTCTGACTCTCCTCCACCTGCAGAAATGGTTTCCAGCTCCCGGGAGTCTTCTCATAAAGAGGACCTGTCCCCTTACATCTCTCTAAACTTACAAGACATGATTTCTGTCCTTATGGATGTGGTCCACACTTGTGTGCAGTTAGAGCTGCCTGTGTCAACTCTTCTGAAGGTCATGCATTTGGACTCTTGGAAAATGTCTAAACCTGGTAAAACCTTTCCTGCTCACCGCTTTTATGGTCTTTAATGTTTATGGTGACTTTGATCACCCTGAGATACAGTTTTCATCTCCTAAATGGTTTGCCCAGCAGAATCCTATTGATGATGGCATCCTTACAAAGTGGGAAGTCCCTGCTGTGGACCTCTTCCCTGAACAAGACCCTTACAGTTCCTGTAGAGGATGTCCAGGTCTTCAAGGACCATACAGACAAGAGGTTAGAAGCCCTTTTTTTAGGGTCTTTTTTGCCCTTGCAGCCCTGACCATCACCAAATCTCTAGGATGAGCCCCCTTTCTATCCACATGTGGTGGATCCTTTGGCTGGAGTTTTGTTCCATGGAGCTCCTTAGCTATTTTGCAAGCAACCACCCTGATACTGGCTTTAGTGGAACTTCACATTCTGGCCCTGTCCGCTGTACACATGCCAGGCGTGGAAAATTGACTGTCAGATTACCTCAGTCATCAGCGTCTGAGTCCTAGAGAGTGGGCCCTTGATCTAGACGTGTTTTGAACTCTTTGTCACTGAAGGGGTAAGCTGGACATAGATCTCCTGGCATCTAACGTCAGCTAAAAGCTGGAAAGGTTTGTCACCAGGATCAGGGATCCTCTAGCCTTCATGATGGATGCCTTGTTGACACCATGGTATCAGTTTTATGCTTTCCCTCCTCTGTCATGTTCCTGCAAAGTATTCAAGGCAAAATCTTCAGAGGGCATTCTAGTGATCCTCATTGCCCCCATCTGGCTCAAGAGATCCTAGGATGTGGTCAAACTCATTGTGGACTCTCCGTTGGCACTTTTGGACCACCCAGACCTTCTGTCTCAAGGTCTGGTATTCCACTCTGCTTCTCGGTTCCTGGTTTTAATGACTTGCCTGTTGAAGCCTAAGTTCTGAGGGACAGCAGTCTTTCAGACGCTGTCATCTCTACACTCCTTAAGCCTAGGAAACTAACCTCCCACATGGTCTACCATCACACCTAGAAGTTGTACTTTGTATGGTACGAGGCCAGGAAGTTCCATTCTATGACATACTCCATGGGAGGCATTTTATCCTTCCTCCACTCTGGCCAGAACCAGCATTTAGCCTTGAGTACCATCAAGGGCTATATATATATATATATATACACACACACACTGAGTGGCCAGATTATTATGACCACCCAATCAGTCCTTCGTTGGGCCACGAGAT